CAGTTTAGCCCAAATTACAAAACAAATTACAGTGATTCTTTGGCAACTAAACATGTACATTTTGTTATCGAACGTATAACAAATTTACAAAATAATATTTGAAAATATTGTTGATGTGAATTATCTGTCATGGTGTGTATAAATATTTTTAGATATTTAATTCAAGTTCTGATATATTAATATGTAACCAAAGTAATAAGTTTATAATTATTGATGATAATTAATTTATGAATTCTAGAAATTCACTGAATTATTAAGCCTTCAATAATTAGTATGTAGTTCTAATATCTGACAGTTGGGACCGGAAACTGTTATGCCAACAGGCAAAAGGTCCTCTATTTAAACCGGTGTAAAGTAGTTTTATTTTTATTTAAATTTTTCGTGTCATATGAACAGATATTCCTCACACCGACATGAACAATGGTGAGTTTGTACAATGATTTAAGTAACACTTTAAAAAATTTTAAATAATAGCTGTTTACGAAAGTTAATATTTGTATTTGAAAATGTAAATTTGTGTATGATTGTGAATAGTAAAGATGTATTCAATTAATACAGCTAGTCTGGACGATTTTCATGTTCTGTTGGAAACCCTCAAACCAAATGTTGAGTTTGAAATTAAATATTTTGTAAGATGAGTATATTTATAGTATTTATAAATATCCTTCCCTCTTTTTAAATTTAATGTTTGCTTTGTCCCTTCTAAGTGTTTTCTGTTTGAATGTGTTTAAATTGTCCTTAATTGTTTTAACTTCAATATTTTATCTTACTCGAATTTGCAATAATCTACCATTTTGCCAATAGAACATTATCAAAGAAATTTGATAATTAGTGACAGTGGGTGACTTGTGAGTGACAGTGAATCAGAATACGCTAAATCTACTATTTACCTATTCACAGTATTTCTTTTGCACAACATTGTTAAATTTCAACGGATTTGCATACAAAAAGAGTGCTTATATTATTCGTATATGTATGAAAACAAAAATAAATATTTCGCCCAAATCCCCACGAGAAGTAAAGGTTTTACGCTACTGAAAATACATTTTTTATTTAATTATAACCAAAACAAAACATTAAAAAAAATCATTTTTTGACCATTATTTTAAAATTCATGTGTACGTTAAGCTTTAATAATGGGTTGGAGCCATTTCCAGCGGTCTTTATTACGTCACACTCCTGGGCCAGCTGATGGCCAGCTGTCAAATGTCATGCGCAATATCATACCTTGTATTCAATGTACCATGATCGTTAGCCACACCTACTGACGCCGTTTTTAATACATACATTAATATGCTCAAAGCTTCTCCATAGATTCTAACTCGATGCCGATTTCACATTTTATAATTTCTGGGCCGTCAGTACACTTTTGGTAGAAATCGGCAATATTATTCCTGTCATCTTCAAACAATTCTCATATACACAGCTGCTATTCGTTCCTTATTGCGTGCTCATTTACAATAATGTTGTTATTATTGCCAACGAGTATAGATAGATGGAAATCGTTTTTTAAATATGTTACTCGAAGATAATAGTTACTTCGCAATATTTGGCATTATATCTACATTATGTTTTGCCGCACCTATTTTCATAGCATAATTTGATAAAAAAAAGTACAATCAGATTGTAGAACTATTTAAGTTGTTCTATGATTTTTGATATTGTTTGATTTTTTAATTGAATATCATTGTATTCAATATAGAAACTAAGTTCTTATTTTATGAAACATTTGTTAAAACTCTCCAATCCAATTGATTAAGAACGACCTAATTGCTTTTTATTAGTTTATTTCAAACATTTTATCTCCAAAATGTTGTGGTTTTGTGCTAGTATACGCTTAGATTGGGACCAATAAAATTAAGAACGTGAGTCAGTTCTCCCTGGATTTGTAAAGGGGATTTTAGAATTAGAAATGGAGTTTAAAAGTTGTTGAGACTTTTGTTTGCCTTATTACTTCCTGAGAAAGGAGATTAATCGTCGTGACATTCCGCTGACAATATGAAAGTTAATTATCTTTGGAAATGGAACGACTAATAAAGGAAACTTCGAAGTGTTGTTTAAGAACCCTTGGTAAAACCGCTAGGCTTTTAATAATAACCCTTTTTTATACCATTATCGAAATCATAGCAGTATTTAAAATGAAATAATATTGAATAATAAAATTTCCATACAAAAATTGTTTATGATCGTAGTCATTTTCTAGATACTTAAGTAAGTTACGTTAAATTTCTGGAGACTGTACATACAAACTTTAATATAAAACTACATCATTATAGAGTATTAAGTAAATGTGTTATAGGTTTTAAGCGTGAAGGAGAGACATCCAATTATGTCTCACCGTATTCAATTTTGATTTAATTTTGAAGAAGGTCTTGAGGCCAGGTTCTATCTAGTCTTGTTATGGCTGGACCATTGTTGAATAATTCTCTTACTAGCTCATTTTTATTGTGAATAGTAAAAATTTGCTGTGTAGGAGAATACGTAACACTTGATGATATATTATTTAATTTTCGGGGAAATGCTATTTCAGAATGTATATTCTCAATAAGCTAAAAAAATATGGCATAAAAGTATTTGCAACCACAGATTCACGAACATTTTACACAATTCACATGAAAATTTATGCAGGACAACACTCTGATGGTCCCTACAAAGTTGATAATTCTACTGAAGCGGTTACTCTAGGAATGTGTCAACATTTATCTGGATCAGGAAGAAATGAAGCGCTGGACCTATGGTTTACAAGTTATTCAGTTGTTCAGAAGGCTTTCGCAGATCATGGACTTCTAGTATGGTTCATGGCAGTTTATGGCAGATCATGGTTCTACAATGCTAGTATATACTGAGAATAAAGTTATACTTGGAATAACTTCATTAATGGTGTTGTACAAACAAAGAATATAGGAATAAGATAATCGGAGTATATCTGTAGAATAACTTTATCCCTCCAAAGTTTAGCAGATATACAGAGTATAAATTTATACTGCATTTCTATTGGTCGGTCAGGGGTTGTCAAATCTGTAATATTTTAACCTCACTTTATTCCATTCAATGAACTGTGGTTTTGTTTGTTTTTATATATAAAATAAAATTTTTGATATTACAGAAACATTTTAGATTTTAAATCCAAAGGAAAAAGAAAACATTTATTATTTTAATTCTAAGATTTTAGGATATATGTATGTAATGTAATAACCTCTACACATTTGACTAGTATGTGCTAATATAGTATAGGTATAATCTTACCAAGGCAATATATTTTTTAATGTTTTGATAACAGAGACTGTAATTCTAGAATCTGTATTATATAAACATTTCTTTATCTAAAATTATATATAGTTTGTAATCCAATATTTATACTTGTTTAAAATGTAAAGTACCTATATAGATATTATTTACATAATTTTGGTTATTATATTACAACACTAATCTCAGTTGATGATAATAAAAATTTAAGAAGGAAATCTTACTAAGAGAAATGATTTTATATACAATATTCCAAAAATTTTACTACTTTGGCTTATAAATAAGTAGTAAAATATACAACGATGTAAATGGTTGTTAAAATAGTATTACAAAAAGCCTGTCAAAATCGGGGTGTTGAAAGTAAGGGTGTAAATAAAGTCATATAAAGAGGGTACAACCAAGGAGTTCATAAAAGGTTTTTGATTTTCACTACAGCACTGAAATAAAAATTGAGAAACTATGGGTTAGGAAATAACTCTAGTACAGAAACAGTTGCAATATATTTAAGATACAATAAAATGTTACAATATAAAATCACTATTTTATTGATTCAATGCTAGAACCGCTTCCATGCAACTTATCTACTATCTCCTTTAGTACAGCAGTTTGTGTATTTATTGAAGTAATCTTGTCTTCTCTGAAAATGTTTACTGGAACAAACCTAATATAATATAATTTGAGTCATGAGGAACTATACATACTCCTACCTCGTACGGAAACCCCTATGGAAAATAACAAGTAACCAGTAAAAAGTGAAAGAGGAGTTGTTATTTTATAAAAACTTGATATTCCAGTTTGTCTAATTTGTAAAATTTTTGTTAAGTTTTTAAAAACCATAGGTTGAGATTCTTTCATGAACAGAACACACTATTTTTTTTTTAAACCGGACCTGACTTTATTTCTAGTATAAATGTGATGTTTAGTGCCATATTTGACCAAAATATGAGACACATCAAATTTACAATTCAAAAGCTATGATGAATAGAAGTCAGTCAAAATTGACAACTCGAAGTGTATGTTATTAAACAATGAGAGCGAAACTTTTTAATTGTCATTTCGATACCAATATTCTAATAGGACACATCCCACAAATCTAAAATTTTACAGGAGGTGAAAAAAACGAAGAATATCCTGGCTTAAGAACTTAAGGGAATGGTTTGAATGCAGTAGTGCAGAACTTTTTAGAGCGGCAGTCAACAGAGTCCACATAGCCATGATGATTTCCAACCTTCGATAGAAGATGGAACTTAAAGAAGAAGAAGCTGCTGTTTCATTGCGTGCGTTATATTGTGCTGCTTCATTTAACGCCATTGTGATGATTTTTTCTACCCTACTAGAAATCTGAAAAAAATAATTTGTATCAATAAAATGCTAAAATACCTGCCTAAATGCTAAAGTCACAAACTCCGCAGTAAAATCCGCAAAATAAATAGCTTTAGTCAGTCAACATTATTGTACTAAAAACCAGAACTAAATTTTTAAAACTTTCTTTTGGCATTATTTATTTATACTTTATAATAAAAATACGAAGGTAGAGAAAACGTAATAATAAATTTATATTTTTAAATGTTAAAAATACACTTCTGAATCTCAATCGTTAATTTTTTGCTAGTTTTGGTGAGTACGAAAAGGTAAATAAAATGATACTCTGAATAAATTATGCATCAATAATACATCTATCTGTTCTAATACGACGTAAACCATAACATAAATTTGAGTTTTACGTCATAATAAACAGTAATTGTTTTAGAAATATGTCGTATCCAATATATTATTTGAAATTCCAATATGACGTATATAACCTCACTATTTCAAAGGTAAATATTTTTACTATAATTTTACATTGTAAATAAGCTAATATGCTTAATGAAAATAATATACTTCAAAATGTAACTTACCTTCGACATCTTAAAAAAACAGACACTTTAAACACAGTTTTTGATTATTGTAATTCAACACGCTCTAACGGCCAACACACACCTTATGAAATCAGGCGGACGACTGTGGTATACGACAGATTCGAAAAATAAAAATAGGCCGGTTTTTGTACGACATATTAGAATAGGCGGTAAAAAATATTTTCAGTTAAATTTTTTTTAAATATGTTAGATTTAGACGGAATAAGACCTATTGGAACAATTTTGTTAAAAACGCTAAATCAAAAAAAATGTGGCATACGTCCTATTAGAATATTGGTATCGATTTGTTATTCCCCATAGGGTTCTCCATACAAGGTTGGAGTATGTCCTGTATTAACTAAGTACTAAGTAAATATTTTACACTTTATTTCTCAACTCTTGTTTAAAAATGTAAACTTCAAACTGGCATATTTTTCTCTTTGCGGTTTTCTTCAAAGACTCCCACTTGCTTCGAATCATTTTAGCTCTCCTTCCTGTACCACAACTGGAATTAAATTTTATGGATAATTTTAACCACTCCTCATCTTTCATGGCACTTGTTGTTGTGTCAGTTTTCTTACATTCTAAAAGCAAAATTAAAATAAATACTTAACCGTTAAAACAATTAAAATATTTTAAGTAATTTTAAATAATTAAAATAAATACATGTTTTTTTACATACCTATTATTTCTTTATGTTTTTTAAGTAAACTCACAAGCATTTCAATTTCTGTATATGTAAAATTTTTACATCTTTTTTTATCCATTTTATATTAATTTTGTAAAGTAAATATAAACGTACATAAAATACCAGATAAAGCGAATCAATTCCTTTCAATTGTACACAAATTTTACAGTTATGACAAATGCCAAATGTCGCTGTCAATACCAATTTGAACTAATTTTGAAGATATCATATTATCTACTATTTTGTTTTACCTTACTTGTTCTGTGGTTACCAGTTATACCCATAATAACTATTCCGCTGTCGATTTCACAATGTAGAACGCTCGAAAAGTTATACTTGGAATAAACTCAAGTATAAGTTATACTCAGAATAACTATTCTCCAATTTATACCTGGATTGTAGAACCGGCCCTTACTGTTGTAGGTACTATAAAAAGTAATAAAAGAGAACTTCCTACAATTATTTTAAATATAATAGATCATCCTGTTAGATCAATAGAACACCTCTATATTTGGTTTTAGAGAAAGACTTATGGTAAGTGTCGTTGGTACCAAAAAAAAAGGAAAAAAACATTTAAATAATGATAATCATCTTTACATGACACTGATAGTGTTAATAATGAAGAATGCTTTAAACCCGAAGTTATTTTATTTTACAATGATACAAAATGTGGTGTGTATATGGCTGATAAAATGGTTTTATCATACAATGTTGCTAGAAATACTAAACGCTGACCATTAGTTATTTTTTATGGAATTCTCAATGTCGCTAGCCTTAATGCGTTAACTATTACTAGCCAAAATAATCCAGATATGGATTTTAGCAAATACAGAAGAGTATTTGTAAAAGCTTTGGGATTAGAGTTGGTTAAGGATTATATGACTGTCGAGCAACAATAACAGGGTTACATTCATACATCCGTAACGCAATAAGGTAAATATTCTGGTCGACCAATCCAACAACAACTAGATTTACCACAGAATAAAAGAGTTCACTGTAAGTATCGCAGAAAACGAAAAACTTGTTATTTTTGCAAATTTTGCAAATGGTGGCTCTGCATGGAGCATATGACGGCAACTTGCGCAGAATGTCCAGGAAATTAAACCTACATAATTAACGTATTTTAAGTTATTATAGTTTCTGCGCAGGTGTTAATATTTAGTTTTGAGTTTATAAATACATTGTTTCACATATTCTTTATACGAAAACGTAATTTTTATTTACTTAATTTTTTTTTATAGTTTGTAAATTAGCAATAAAACGATTACCAAAAATTAGTGTTTTTATTAGACGTCGTATATCTATACAACAAAAAAAGTTGAATTAACATTTTTTAAAGACATATCGTATAAACATACATTATTAGGTATTACAAAAAAAAATTAATGTGTATATACCAAAGGTTAGAAAAAAAACCTTTGGTCCTGATAGACCACCGTCGGGTACTCATGTAATTCTAAAAGCGGTCGTGCATTGGATTTTTAAACATATGTCGTTTATAACCTTACATTTTATTTAATATTATTTTAAATATCTTGATATTTATTCCAATTTTAATAAAGACCAGTCTGTGATTTTAATAATTTGTCAAATCTGTAAAGTCTTAAAATATATAAATGCTTTCCGGAATAATTCGCAGATTGGAAATATTAAGTAAAATCTGTTATCCAGATGAAAGTTTTAAACCGTTGTAACTCAAAGGAACTTAGTTGGAATTCCAGTCGCGTGTAGAGGAAACTGGCGTATCTAACAAAAGAAAAAGTAGATAGTTGAGAAGTTATATTCAGTTAATGATCTCTAAGCAGTATATTAAAAAAATCATTTCTCTAGGTTTAGATAATTCGTAGAAACTATCCGTAGGTTGAATAATTAATACTTTTAGTATTTGATGTGACTGTAAATAGTAAGTTTCTGGTCTAAATCGGTACATTTGATTGTACTAACTTTCTTTTTGTCATAATTTAATGGCAGCTATGTACGCCGTTGCTCCCGCTTGGCGGTGCTAGTGTAGTTGGAGGTCAACACATTTTGACAATTCTTTGGGTTTGTATGGTATTTTTGTTGTAATTATTACAATTTAATAAATTATGACAGAAAAATACGGATCTTGTTATATTTGCGACTTGATAAAAGAATTGAGAAGAAATGCAAGAATTACTGGAAAACAAGGAAGCCATTATCGAAAAGTAAACTATATAAATTATGGTCTTAATGTATCATTGGTTCATTTCAGACCATAATAGAAACTTTTATATTGGTCTTAGTATTATAGTAATGTATTTGGATTTGAACTAATACTGCCATGTAACTAAAATATGGTAATTTTAGCTACCTACCGTGGCATTGAATACAGTTTTGCGCTGCCTTAAAACAAAGCGCATTATAAATTATCACTATGTATGAAAGATATAGTGTCGCTGCCAGAAGTTAGTTGCTTTGCCTGTCCAGAAACTGATTAGGTATTCTATATTATAATATAGGTTGGGATTTATATAATCGAAATAATAATTTTCGACATGATATTGTATGGTCACTAATGTGGATTTCACTAATGCTCAGAAATTCCTCTAATACATTTCATAGTTTCATAGTTTCCATTTTGTTCTTGTAATGGATGATTACCAGATTCTTCTGAAAAAACGGAACATGCAGGTGACTCGTCATAATCTACTAGTTTCTGTACAATGACTTTTGGTTGAGAAGGTCAAGGAGGAGTCTTATGCCCCATAGTGCTTAACATTGTCTTGGATGACATAATTAAAGAAACTAGAGCAGAAACATTGAAATTATATGCCGGACATAAAAATATAGATGCAGTGTGGATCTCAGAGTGTGCATACGCAGACGATCTAGTGATATTTGGGATAAATGAACAAGCACTCATTCGAAATTTACAAGTATGGAACACTGCACTAATTAAACGAAATTTGAGGATCAATAATGAGAAGACGAAAGTAATGGTATGTGGAAAAAATAGAAGACAAACGAAGATAACACTTGACGGAAAGACACTTGAACAAGTCGATACTTACAAATACTTGGGAGTACAAATAGAGAACACAGGAACTGAAGAAACTGAAATAAGTTCCAGAATAGAAAGTGCTGCTCGGATGTACCACGCAATTAAAAGTACGTTTCTGTCAAAAAAAGCCCAAGTGAGTTTTTGGGATAAGTATCCCAAAAAGCCAAAGTGACCATATACAAGACGGTATTTGTGCCGATTTTAACTTTTGGTAGTGAAAGTTGGACGCTTACCGATAAGTTAAAATCGAAAATACAAAGCATAGAAATGAAGTTTTTTAGAAGAATAATGGTTATAACCAGGTTAGATAGGATTAGAAATGAGGCAGTCAGAGAACATCTTAAAGTCCAACCAATTATTAAGAAAATTGAAGAGGCCCAACTAAGATGGTACGGACACATGGTTAGAATGAATCAAGAAAGACCAGTTAAAAAAGTATGGGAAGCCAGAAGACAAACCAAGAGACCAAGGGGCAGGCCAATAAGGACATGGGATGATAATGTTACCTCAATCCTAGAGACACGAGGAATCAGCAAAGAACAAGCAAGAAACCAAGCAAAGAATTAAGAAGCAATGGAGGAAAATTGTACATGCAACTAACTGAAGACATTACACCCGACACCTTAGGGTAAATGGGTTTATGACTATATATATATATATATATATATATATAATATATATATATATATATATATATATATATATATATATATATATATATATATATATATATATATATAGCAAAACTGGTAAGATTATCGACCGAAACGTAAAAAACAATTTATTGTGTTGGAATATCGGGTATGCGGTCTGTTATTATTAAAAAAAAAGACTCTTTTTTCTTTTAATCCTCTATATTTCGCTGATTTTTTGTCAGCTTCATCAGGAGACAACTAAAAATTTGAATAAAAGTTATAAATATAAAAATCAGTTTGAATAAAAAGTGACTCACTTACAGATTTAGAGTGGAAAGTATTTAAACAAGTTGAACATAATTTGTTCAAAACAGTACTGACAGTTTTTGTTAAAAGTACCTAGGTCACTAGTAATTAAATGTAAAAATATAAAAACAGAGCAAACAAAAACAACGAAACAATTAAAACACAATAAAATTACACATTAAAAATATACAGGGTGATTTAAAATATAATTGTTAACAGAAAAATTATTTAGACATACTAAGAATATTACAGTAGATATTGCTCAACT